AATAATCTCATTTTTCAATTATTAAGCCATTTCATTTTATCAAGTTCAATGTTATCCAGATTAGTCAACATTTATATTTTTTGATGCAACAATAAGATGTTATTTATAAAAGTAGTTTTGTTTGTTAGTTGATTGGTTAGTGAACCTATTTCAAACATCATATTTTAATTAACTTGTAAAAACTCGAAGTCATGTACAGCCAAACATAATAACTGATGCACAAAAGGGGAAACTTGACTTAATTACTTAAAATTGACCTATTTTGAAAATCTGGGCCCCTGATATTTGGGCATACATCGATTTTGTTGATTCAGGATTTTACATATTAAGGCATCAAGAACCATCACATATGTAGCATTTCATTGTGTTACCAGTTTAGAGGCAAGTAAAGATTCTTTTCCATACAAAGCAAGGCATTGTACAATATGGGAGGTAATGAGCTATTGTGTATACTTTAGATACAGACAAGAGTACGTAGACATGTTTAATGTTTGATATATTGTATTTGGATTATTTGTATTATGCATTATAATATATGAATGGCATGCATCAATTTAGCTTATGTTATGCCATAAAAATGATGTGGCATATTAAAAAAGAAACCATGTGTCCAAAAGTAAAAAATGTCCCCCTGCTGAAGATGAGGCTGAGGCAAATCTAGATCAACTAGATTCAAATATCAAATTCTGAAATCCAAATCAACTGTATACAAAACCCAAATTCAATTGGATGTAAATTTCAAATATCAAACAAGTAAATGACCCGAATGGTACAAACGGACCTCTTTCTTTTAAAAAATTAAGAAAAGAGCCAAGGCAGCCCACAACACCAACCAAACCACCCAAAGGACGCAATCCTAATATCCAGCACAGAAATGACAACAAGCCCAGAGTTTCACCAATTGGGAAGCCCCAACAATCGAAAAAGAGCAGAACCAGAGAAATAAGAGAAAATCACCACCAGCCTAATGGTAAACAAAAGCAACTTAACCCCAAGGAAAAACACACATCGTGGCAAGCTAGAAATGAGGCATAAAGTGGCATCAGTAACTGAATAGAATACCTACTCCAACCTTGTTGCCACCACCAACTTCAACTGCCGAACCAAATAAATGCAACAATTCCACAAGATCATATTCAAAGCCCAAAAGAAGTCATTGCAAAATAAAGTGCCATCACAGATAAACAGAGGCCAAAACCAACCAAAACCAAGAAAAGAAAGATTAAACGAACCCGACCAAATTAATTGAAGAATCCAACTCCAGCCTCCTCCTAACTGTAATGGTTAAAAGCCTAGAAGAGTCCACAATCACCAAAATCAACTATCACCACCTGAAAACCTTTCCATCATGGATTTCCAAACAAACCAATTCCCAACCAATATTTCCAGCAATATTATCAAACACTGGCAGCGACCTTGGCATCAAATTCCCACTATAAATTCCCAAATCAGCTGAACAATCAATAACTATAGACATAAATTTTTATTCTCACTTATCCGAGAATGTTCATGCTTCAAACCCCCCATTTCCAGACCAATCTTTTGGAAATTTACCTTTTATATTTAGAGACAAATTCTTCCCAAAATCATTTTAGAAACAAAACTGAAATCATACATACAAAATACACAACTTTTGAACTTCCACAAGAAATATCTTACTAAATGAACAGACGTCAGACGTTGAATCGGGACAGATGAATATGAAAATAATGCTCAAGACAAAATTCAAATAAATAAACTTATGCCTTTCCGACCTCTTAAAGCTTAAACTTTTTAAGTAAGCTGATTGGTCATCCTACTAGAATAGAGGACTGCTTGTGCTAATAGACTAGAGGTCCTGGTTCAAGTCTCACCCCTATCCATTTACATAAAAATTAAATCATTAAATAAGTCCCTTTTAGACGAGGTTGTTTCACAAATGGCTAGTCATCATGAAGGATTAATTTTTAGGACCATTATTCTATCATACAAAAGGCATAAAAGATCAAAGTTTTCTTTTAAAAAATTCATATAACAATGAACACCAGCAATATAATAATAACCTGTCTCATAAGGGCATCTGCTTTGCAAGAACGAACAGTTCGGAACTTATCCAAATCAAGCTTCTTGTTTATGATCCCAACACTGAAGTAAATACTATCGGTTGGCGGTAAGTCAACACTGATCTCATCAACATTAAACCAGAACAAGAATCTCTTAACCTGAATGCCCTTCAAATTGGTAATCGACCCCATTTTCAGCTTCCCAGTGATCTTTTTCTTGTAGTAAACCAAGTAATCGAACTTTATGTAACATGCCTTCTTGAGATTGACCTCAAATTCGCCATTTTTCGAGAGGGAGTAGGAGGTGACCGAGTCGGGTAAGAGTCCACTCGGAAGGCCGAATTTGGGGAGGATTTCGTACACCGTTGGTTCGGCAGTTGACGGGGTGTCCGGGGAGAGAATTAGGGATGAAGATTTGACGACAATGGAGCTGAGGAGGAAGACGAATAGGAGACATTGCCGGGTTTTCGAATTCAAAGCCATTGATTTCTTCGAAGTCTGGTGTGATTTTGATTCGAGGAAAAAACGATTAAAAGAAAGAGAGTGAGCAATTGCAGAGACGGTCCTGAGTTTATTGTGGGAATATCAAATTCGGGATTAAACCATTTTAGCCGAAAAAATTTGATACTTTAGTTGACATCCTCTCTCACATTATAGTGGGATCCATATGAATTAAAAAAGAAAAAAAAAATTCCCCCCTCCGCTCTAGTGTGAGGTGTCTATTAAACTAGTGATGACAAAAAAACCCGGCGTTGCCCCGCCCCAATGGGTTGGTGGGGCGGGACGAGGAAGGGGTGCCCCGCCTCAAAGCGCCCCGAACCCGTCTTATGAAGAATAAAAATAATAATTAATT